ATGAAGATTGTCATTGCTCAAAATAAATTTTAAAGATTAAGGTGCATTCGATTTTTAGCTCTTCTGAGCCAAAGGCTCAAAGAGCTAATGCTATGGCCATTTGTGCGGTGTGCGTTAACTTTTTAGAATATGGGCCATAACTCAAGAACCCTTTGGCCAATCAGTACCAAATTTGCCACAGAGGGTCCTTGGCCCAAGGGCTACCATTTATACTAAAATAAGGGTTTGGACCCTAAAACAAGGGGAGATAATCAGGAAAACAAAACAAAAAGTACTAGTTGCCAAAAAATCTTCTTCTCCAGAACCGCCAGGCAGATTTTCACCAAACTTACATACAAGGATCAGGATATGTTGAAGATTCAAAATTGTTTAAGGCATGACCCTGGGGCAAAGGGCGTGGTCTCAAGGTCACTTTAAAGTTGACCTAAATTTACAATTAATAAAAATGTTTATATTTTGCTTACTATAAGGGCTAGGATCATCAAATCTTGTAAGTTGATGCATCTTAGGACTTCACATCACGTTAACTCAAAAGTAGGTCACTGTGACCTACTTTTTAAATTTTGCGGGCATTTGTTTTCAAATTGATTTGAAGGCATATTTTGGACACTTTAAGGTCTATGATCATGAAACTTAGTCAGTTGATGCATCTTGGGTCCTCGAACAACGTCAACTTAAAAGTAGGTCACCGTGACCTACTTTTTGAACTTTATGACTTAACCTTTTTAAAACATTTTATCCCATTATTTCAGGCACTGAAAGGGTTAGAATCATCAAATCTTGTAAGTTAGTGCATTTTGGGACCTTAAAACGTATTTAAAAAAAGTAGGTCACTGTGACCTACTTTTAGAATTTTGCTGGCATATGTTTTCAAATTGTGTAAAAGGCATATTGTGATTCCCTTTAGACCTAAAATCATCAAACTTGGTTAGGAGATGCATCTTGGGACTCTAAAAAATGTCAACCAAAATGTAGGTCACGGTGACCTACTTTCGGCATTTTATGGCTATATTTAAGTATCTCCGGTACTTATTGGCTTAGAATCATCAAACTTTGTGAGTTGATGCAGCTTGGGTTTTCGAAGAGTGACGACTAAAAATTAGGTCATGGTGACCTACTTTTGACATTTTATGGCTATATTTAAGTACCTCTGGTACTTATTGGCTTAGAATCATCAAACTTTGTGAGTTGATGCATCTTGGGTTTTCGAAGAGTGACGACCAAAAATTAGGTCACGGTGACCTACTTTCGACATTTTATGGCTATATTTAAGTATCTCCGGTACTTATTGGCTTAGAATCATCAAACTTTGTGAGTTGATGCAGCTTGGGTTTTCGAAGAGTGACGACCAAAAATTATGTCACAGTGACCTACTTTTGACATTTTATGGCTATATTTAAGTATCTCTGGTACTTATTGGCTTAGAATCATCAAACTTTGTGAGTTGATGCATCTTGGGTTTTCGGAGAATTTCGACCAAAAATTAGGTCCCAGTGACCTACTTTCAACATTTTATGGCTATATTGAAGTATCTCCGGTACTTATTGGGTTAAAATCATCAAACTTTGTCAGTTGATGCATCTTGGATTTTCGGAGAGTGGCGTCCAAAAATTAGGTCATGGTGACCTACTTTTGACATTTTATGGCTATATTGAAGTATCTCCGGTACTTATTGGCTTAGAATCATCAAACTTTGTGAGTTGATGCATCTTGGGTTTTCGAAGAGTGACGACCAAAAATTAGGTCACGGTGAACAACTTTCTGCAATTTATGGCTATATTTAAGTATCTCCAGTACTTATTGGCTTAGAATCATCAAACTTTGTGAGTTGATGCATCTTGGGTTTTCGAAGAGTGACGACCAAAAATTAGGTCATGGTGACCTACTTTTGACATTTTATGGCTATATTTAAGTATCTCCGGTACTTATTGGCTTAGAATCATCAAACTTTGTCAGTTGATGCATCTTGGGTTTTCGGAGAATGTCAACCAAAAATTAGGTCACAGTGACCTGCTTTCAACATTTTATGGCTATATTGAAGTATCTCCTGTACTTATTGGGTTAGAATCATCTAACTTTGTCAGTTGATGCATCTTGAATTTTCGGAGAGTGACGTCCAAAAATTAGGTCACTGTGACCTACTTTTGATATCTTATGGCTATATTTAAGTATCTCCGGTACTTATTGGCCTAGAATCATCAAATTTTGTCAGTTGATGCATCTTGGGTTTTCGGAGAATGTCGACCAAAAAGTAGGTCAAAATGACTTACTTTTGAATATTTCAGGTATTTATTGGCTTACAATCATCAAACTTAGTCAAGAGATGCATCTTTGGACTCTGAAAAATGTCCACTAAAATGTAGGTCATGGTGACCTACTTTTGACATTTTTTGGCTATATTTAAGTATCTCTGTTACTTACTGGCTTAGAATCAACAAACTATGTCTGTTGATGCATCTTGGGTTTTCAGAGAATGTCAACCAAAAATTAGGTCTAGGTGACCTACTTTCTTCATTTTATGGCTATATTTAAGTATTTTAGGTATTTATTGGCTTAGAATAATCAAACTGTGTCAGTTGAGGCATTTTGGGTTTTCCAAGAATGTAGACCAAGAAGTAGTCCTAATTGGCTAAGAATCATCAAACTTTGTCAGGTGATGCAACTTTGGTCTTAGGATACTTAGGGTTAGAGGCTTCAAATACTAGTGATAGGTTGTACAATTTATCAGAAGAGCGATTCAAGGCCCTTGGGCCTCTTGTTGTTCATTTTAATGCACCAAGTTAGAAAGCCAACATCAAAATATAAAACCCAATATTATATATATGTAATGAAAACAATTTATTTACTATGCATATGATGGGGCAATACAAGTTTTAAAATTGCATAACATAAAACAGACAAAAGTTATATAGGAGGACAGCTTTGTCTCTGAGCTATTCATTGGTTCAATTAAAATTTTAAAAGTTTTAGCAAGACCAATGATTCGCTCAATATGCACCCTTTTGCTCGAAATTTTTCTGTCTTGAACTACAGTTGCACAAGACATTCAGTTCTTTTTTTTAAAAAACGTAGGTGTATTTATCTGAATATTTTTATGAACAAACATGTCTTGCACATTGAATCCTTTATCAGCCATGATAGAGTCACCAGGATCACACAAATTCAACAAACTGCTACGTTCCACTATTTGTCTGTCGCTTGTAGAACCACCATATGCAGAAGATACATAAGAAATTAAGCCGCCAGGGGTTGCACCAACCAGAATTTTCACTGTGTTCTTATTTTTATATGTCGAGAATGTAGCTTGCTGGGATTTCGGTTGTTTTGGTTTCTTGATAGGGCACTCCGTTCCATCAACTAGCACTCGGGTTTTAGGAAACTTTAGTTTAAAATCAGAGGGACAAAAGTATTTTACAAGGGATTTAGGTGGCCATATGTCAACTTCTCTCCACTGTTTGGACATGAATAGAATCCAAGTATAGAATATATTAGATACAGTTTTTTCTGAAATACTGAATAATCTTGATAATTCAAAATTAGTTCTGTGTCGCCTCAATTTGATGAGAACAAGAAAAAATTGATCTGGGACACTGATATTTGTGACTTGGTGATAGACATAATTTAAACAATATGCTGCAGGACCTAAAGTTCTTAATACAAAATAAAATTTAGAGATTGTTTCCAAACCAGTGTAAAAATGAATACCAGCATCATCCTTTTCAAAGTTATCAATACACATTGGGGGAAATGTTGGCGTCTGTGTTCCTACATTTTGACGAATTGTTTGCTGATCATCATGTTGACTCGAGATATTTTCATTAAGAGTACTGCTGTAATCACTGATAGTTTCCTCTACAATATTAATGTCATCAAAAAATACTTCTTCTGAACTTTGACTTGTAGATGCAATATCTTCTATTAATTTTCTTTTGACACCCCTTGTCCTAGCTCTGTCGGCTCTAGCGAGTACAGCTGGGCTTGTTGGATCTGCCCATTGGAAAAGGCTGGGTACTGCTGTTTTCCGTAACCTCTTACTTAAAGGTATATTTCCTGAAATTAGTATCAATTGATATTTTTAAGCAAAAAAAAATATTTGAACGTTTTTATCCTTTCAGTATCGAAAACATTTAATGTTTAATATGAACATATGTATTTGTAAAAAAAAAAATATTTATAGATACATGTATATACTATATACATATAAGTAACTTATGTAAGTTAGAATGAAGATGCTAATATATCTTTGTTTGATAATCAGTTTAGAGGATAAGACAAAGATGTAATTAGCAAATGCGGTAGAAGACTTCATTATCAACAGGTGGTCTCATTGAACAGAGAAATTTACGATGCCAGATGTTTACACAGGGCAGTTGTTTTGTAGCGCCGTCGAGCGGTAAACGGCACACAATATTTTAATCCAGTGGAATTAAGTTAATAATTAATCCATGCTTCCTCAATGAAATGTTGCTTCAGTGAAAACACCTGGTTATCGTTTTACAATTTATTTACATGATCTCAAATTTTAATAGTCCAACAGAATGCACAAAATAAAATATCCTTGAACAGCACTGACCAAATTAAATAAACTCCATTTCTATCTATTATACTTCTCCTATGCATCTACTATTCTATTCTACACAGAAACTTTCTGTCCCCTGTATATATATAAAGTAGGTTGCTCACGAAGAGCAACGCTCTTAACTGGGTCAGTTACATAAGTTACACAGCCGCTGCTCACAAGGAGCAACGGGTATCCGTACTATAAATAAACATAATCTAAAATAGGGCACTGAATGAAACAATTAAGACTAATTACAGATAATTAAAATAATACAATATTAAATCACGACTTTACAACTTCCCCCTTCTTAGCTTTTGGTTCCGTACAAAAGAATATATATTAAGTATTTAGAAATAATTATCAGTGCTGCCCAATCAATAGCATATAAAACACAAATAAATAATAAAATATACACAAGTTGATATTTACAAAGTCACATTTACATAGAAAAGTCTCCTCTCATAACACGCGTTTTCCCTTCTCGGAAATGTTCTTGCACTTCCTCGAACACTTCACTGGCCACGGAATTAAAGTCAACATTTTCCGGATTAATGTCTTCGGAATATAAGATTTGTGAATCCCTACTAACTTCAATTTTTCCATCAGGAAAGGTAGTGGTCACTTTATTAAGAACTAAACAAATCGTTGATTTAACTTGCGTCACATTGTTGTGTTCATTGTCACTTTCTTCACGCTCGGACATGGTCTCGTAATTCACGCGACTCTCGGGAGTTTCACTACGTCCCTCATCGTCTATGTCCTCCTCCTCAGGTCGAGTCAGGTTCCCGGCGTCCAACAAGTCCCTCACAAAGTCGTCTGATGGTATATCACCCGAATCCAACGACATGTCTTCTAAGAAATCAAGTTCACTTTGCTGTTTTGGCTGTTCATCTCTGTCACTCTCTGTGGTAAATTCTTCGTCGGAGGATATGTTCTCGTACTGTTCGCTCAAAACGTACACAGGTTTCTGAGCCTCTTCGTAACTTTGTCTTTTCACCGAATATCGTTTCCGATCCATGGCTTCACTCAATGTGGTTCCATCTAGTTTGTATACAAGTCTGTAGTGTCTCCGTAAGTTATAGATTCTGGTAAATGTCCTCTGGCAAAAGTTACACTTTAAACACTCAAGATCAGATGCATGTTGTTCTTTCACGTGTAAGTTAAGGTTGCTGGCTCTTGAAAATATTTTCCCACAGGTATCACAACGCATATTAATTAAAATTACAAGTGATTGTCTCTGAAGCGAAGCGGTCTTTTTATAATCCTCCCGTGCCTGGTTGTCTGGGTTGGGGGAATCTGGGGCGTGTCATTCTCCAACTCGGAATCTGATTGGCTGGCGGCTGGTGACTGAAGTCTGGCGTCTGCGACGGGTGGACGAACTGGCGGCGTCTTCAAAGCGTTTGCTCTGCTGAATCGAGCGCGGCGATGCGTAGCGGGTGCTCTCTCCGGCTGGTCACGCGTGTATTCGGGGCTTTGTTTTGACGGGTATTGTTTATTACCTCGATACAGTTTGATATTGTCTGAATGGACGACTACTGGTTTTGATTTCTCTGAATGTTTTATTTGGAATAAAACATCACTGAGTCTTTTGACAACAATCCAAGGTCCTGTCCATCTTCGGGCTAATTTAGTTTTACATCCGACAGCAACTTTAGGCTGGCTCCGGCGAACTAAATCTCCAACTTCATAATTAATAGAACGAACATTCCGATCATAAGCTCGTTTTTGTCTCTCAGAACTTTGATTAATTGTAGTTCTCACAATGTCATACAGTTCACACAGATTTTTCTCTAGATTACGCACATATTCCGCTGTATTTCCGAACATTCTCTCTTCGTCACTATCCAAATTTTCTGTCATTAGATTTACTGGAAGAGTCATTTCCTCGCCGAATACCATTCTGTACGGTGTTAGTCCAGTTGATTCATGTACAGTGCTATTATACGCAAACACAATACCATCGATGAATTTATCCCAGTCTGTTTGATTCGCTGAAATATACTTAGATAGGATATCTTTGATGGTCCTGTTTAGTCTTTCAATCATTCCATCCGATTGCGGATGATAAGACGTGGTGCGTGTTTTGTTGATTTGCAGGAATTTGCACATTTCCCGAAATAACTGACTCTCAAATTGGGCACCTTGGTCTGAGTGTATTTCTTGCGGGCATCCGTAGCGTTTAATCCATCCTCTAAACATAGTTTCAGCTACTGTTTCGGCTTCAATATTCCTGAGGGGAAATATCTCCATGAATTTCGTAAAGTAATCCGAAAGCACTAAAATATATACGAATCCATTTGCTGATTTCGGAAACGGTCCAGCTATATCCACACCAACCCTTTCGAATTTAACACCACTCACATAAGTTTTCATATAGCTCCTTTTCTTCCTGTATGGATTTTTCCGTTCCTCACAAATATCACACGAAGAAATGTAATCCTGAACATATCTCCGTAAATGAGGCCAGTAATAATTGCTTCTGTTAAGTTTTTCATATGTGCGTCTTACTCCTAAGTGTCCAGCTGTCATAGCATCATGGAAATTCCACATTACAGCATCCCGTAATTTCCGAGGCACTACGATTCTTAAGCGTTCTGTGCTATCCTCAATCCATTTAATACACAAAACACCTTGGTTTACAGTCAGTAATTCCCATCGTGAATATAGAAATTTGCTCTCAAAACCAAGACTTGACACTGATTCTATTGCTGGTTTTGGAAAATCCGGGTCTTCTTTCCACTTAAGAAATGGTGATATATTGTCATCCGTCAACTGAAGTTCTCTAATATTGTCTAAACACAACGATGTTTCAGGCTGTTTCCTAGGTTTAGCTTGTACAGGCCGATTTGGAATACGTTTCGAGGTCCTGTGAGGTTGCGAATTATCACTTAAATAGCACAGATTCATTTCCTGATCCGTTTCTGGAAATAGTGTTTTAATGTCACACACGTAATTACAAGACTCTGATCTTCACTGTTAGCTAATTTTCGGAAGTCCTCTATGTGATAATATTTTGTATCACTTGGCTCCTCTGTCACATTCATTTTGCACTGTTTACATTGTCCATTCTGGGTATTAATCCTAGTTAATCCGTCCGCGTTTCCATGGCGTTTTCCAGGCCTATTCTGAATTTGAAACGTATATGAAGCTAGTTGTTGAAGCCAACGAGCGATCTGTCCATCAGGTTCTTTAAACTTATGTAGCCACACAAGTGATCCATGATCTGTCCTCAGAATGAATTCTCGTCCAAGCAAGTAATGTTTGAAATGTTTTATGAAGTAAACAAGTGCTATCATTTCTTTTCGCGTAATACAATAATTTCTCTCAGCTTTTGTAAGAGTACGACTTCCGTAGGCTATCACTTTTTCCTGTCCGTCCTGAATCTGTGATAACACTGCTCCTATTGCGTCATTGCTGGCATCCGTATCCAAAATAAAAACTCCTCCGTTTATATCCGGGTAACTTAGGATAGGTGCACTCACTAACTTTGATTTCAGGTGATTAAATGCTTCATCACATTCGGAAGTCCACTTCCATGGTTGATTTTTACAGGTAAGTTCGTGAAGGCATTTAGCACTTTTTGCAAAGTCTTTGATAAAACGCCTGTAATACGAAACTAATCCCAGAAAACTACGCAATTCTGTAATGTTCCGTGGAATGTGCCAGTCCACTACAGATTCTGTCTTGCTTGGGTCTGTTTTGATTCCTTCCGCAGATACTATATGTCCTAGAAAACTCACTTCATGATTAAAGAAACTGCATTTCTTGGCCTTCAATTTTAAATTAGCATTCTCTAGTCTGTCAAATACTAAACTCAAGTTCCTTAAATGCTCCTCGAATTCTCGGCTATACACAATAATGTCGTCTAAATACAATACTGCTATGTGCCACTGTAATCCTCTCAAAGTTTGCTCTATTACTGTAGTGGAACCATTTTATGTAAGAACTGTCTAACGCTGTGTATGATTTTATGTACGAGTTAATCTAAAGTATGTAAACACACATGGCTGCAAGTGCGGCACACTGCAAGCAATTTTTCTTATAGTTAAGCTCGATCCACTACAGAGTAAGTTTCATATGTATTATAAATGATAAAGATATATGTTTATTTACTTATTGTTAACTGCAAAGTAGGCAATTTCACTTATTAGGCTATTTTTATGATCGGAATGTAATGTAAACAATCTACAGCTATAATATTTTCCCGCCATTATTGTCCATTGTCTTCAAGCAATTTGTGTAGAATTTGTGTTTGTATCTCATAGTAATGTGTTGTTTTTGTTTTGTTTATTGTAGTTTTTTACCTCTTCCGAGAGTCTATAATAAAAGCAAGCAAACATTATAGTAAAAAATCTGTACTCATCACATGGATCGAATCATGGACCTTAGAGCTGCACGGACCCTCACCGAGCGAGCAAAAGAACAGTGCGAAAAGAAAGTGAGTGAATATACAGAACAATTACGTGTTCTTAGGAAAAGTGTAGAAGAACAAATTCTGGCATTTAGTGAGTTTCCCTTAAAAGAGGATGCAGAGTTTGTGAAACATAGGGTGACCCAAACACTTGGAAAATATGGTGACTTGTCTGAAAAGTTTGTGGCCTACTTACAAGAAACAAGGACAAAAGAGAGTGAGTACGAACTTTCAGCGCATGCTATGGTTAACAGATCAGTCATGAGCAAGGCAGAACTGTTCATAAAGGAACTTGAACATTTCGATCAAAGTGACGTTAAAGAGAAAAACGGACAACAACTATCTAGTGCAGATTCTACACAGTCAAATAAAGAGACAGATCATTTTTCAGTCAAACAAGAACCCGCAAGTGTTACAGAAGAGTCAGCAAGTTCTTCACATCTCAGCAAAGTCAAAGCTAGATACGAAGCATCAAAAACAAAGGCGAAGTATGCAGAACTTACAGCAAAATTAATTAAAGAAAAGACGCAAATAGAAGAAGACGAGGCAATCGCAGCTTCAAGATCAGCAAGAAAAAAGAAAGATTTATAAACTAGTTTAAATCTCATTAAAGTACCACAAGAGGCTGAAGAGGCAGAAGCAGAGCTGGACGCTCTCATGGAAGAAATGAGCATCAAGTCAAATCATTCCGAGCATAGTGTACGTACATTGACAAGTGAAAAGCGAAAGAGAACCCGAGACTATGTGGTAGAGCAAAGCAGTATGCGATCTGAATTATCCAACCATGAACAAGCTTCAAGTGAAAGAACCCCAAATCCGTTTGATAAATACAAACATGAAACATTTACATTCATGTCAGACAAATATAGGCAACCTTCGTATAGAGACTTATCTGTTCAAGAACAAGATCCTGTAATGAGAGAAAATGCGAACCCTCAAACTAATGAACGCTATGAAAAACGCAATACTGACAGATATGCACGAGATTATGAGCCACCAATTGCGCCAAAATTTCATAGCACATACGCAGGAAGAGACTACGAATCGCCAATTGAAAATCATGGAAATGGAGGAAACGCCCCACCAAATGATCACAGTGTTATGCAACGTGAACCAGATTGCGACAACCACTCTCCCTGGGTCGGCACGGAACTTACCAAGTTTCTCGTTAAAAAAGAACTGTTGTTATCGAGACTATCTGCCTTCAATGACAGACCAGAAAACTACCTTATATGGAAAGGCAGCTTTTCTATCATTATGAAAGACTTGAGTGTCACCCCCATGGAAGAGTTGGATCTTCTCATAAAGTACCTTGGAGCAGATTCCAAGCAACATGCGATGAGACTCCGCGCGTCACATCCTACCGACCCATTGAAAGGACTCACCAGAATCTGGGAGAGACTTGATGAGCGCTATGGCTCCCCAGAATTGATAGAAGCGATACTAAAAGAAAAGATAGCAAAGTTCCCAAAAATAAGTACAAAGGATGCCAAAAGGATGTATGAGCTATCTGACATAGCATCTGAAGTAGAGTCAGTGAAGGAAAATCCTAAGTACAAAACCCTACTGGCATATTACGACTCCTCCTTTGGCGTAAATTCATTTGTATCCAAACTACCAGGATTTCTACAGTCAAAGTGGACGGACAGGGCACTGAAGCATAAGGTAGAACACGATGTTCTCTACCCACCTTTTGCCGTTTTCACGAAGTTCTTGAAGGAGATGAGCATTAGAATGAATGATCCAAGCTTTGCATTTGACAAGGGAACTTCACCTTCATTTGAAAACAGAGACAAGTTTACACCAGTGAGGGGCAATATTACCACCATTAAGACAAAGCTAACACCAAAGAAGCCTAGCAAGTGTCCGTTACATGAAACTGATAAACACCCGCTTAGTGACTGCAGAACATTTAACAGTAAACCAATCGCTGAAAAGAAATCCCTCATTAGACAGTATGGCCTGTGTTTCAAATGCTGCAATGGCAAGCATTCAGCTCGTGACTGTCAAGAACATGTATCATGTAATGTATGCAACTCCAATAGACACTGTACTGCTATGCATGAAGAGAGAAGTACTTCACAGGTTCACAGCGGGGAAGAGCTACGCAGAACGACTAATGATGCAACTAATCCAAGTGTGAGAGCAAGCTGCACCCAGGTTTGTGGACGTGAAGGATTCAAAGGAAAGTCCTGTGCAAAGACAGTCCTAGTGAATATATATCCGGAACAACATCCAGAACGGAGTCTGAAAGCCTACGTTCTCATTGACGACCAAAGTAACAGGTCACTGGCGAGGTCCGAGTTTTTTGACTACTTCAACGAGAATGCTCATGAGATCGAGTATGTATTATCATCATGTTCAGGCTACATATCCACAACTGGACGACAGACCTCAGGGTACATAATCGAGTCTCTAGATGGCAGCACAAGACTATCATTGCCAACCCTTATAGAGTGCAACCAGATTCCCAACATGCGAGAGGAAATCCCCACACCAGAAGTAGCAAAGTATCATGAACACCTCAGGGATATAGCTGATGAAATTCCGCCATATGATCAAGACGCACCCATTTTACTGCTTATTGGTAGAGACATGATAGCAGCTCATCATGTGTTGGACCAGAGAATTGGACACAATTATGCACCGTATGCTCAGAAACTGAGGTTTGGTTGGGTTGTCATTGGCGAGACATGTTTAGGAGCTGCCCACAGACCTGAAACAATCACCACCAACAAAGTTCACGTCTTGAGTAATGGACGTCCGTCAATACTACAGCCATGCCCAAATGATTTTAGGCTGAGGACTCACACCAGACCAACATCAGATTTTGAATTTGGAGAGAATGTTTTCATACAGACAAGCAGTGATGACAAAATTGGTTTCTCGATTGAAGATAAGGAGTTCCTTAGTGTCATGAACAGTGGCTTTAGGAAAAGTGAGAGTGGAAACTGGAGTGCACCCTTGCCGTTCAAGTCCAAGCGACAAGTATTGCCAGACAACTATGAGCAAGCACTGCAACGGGCCAGGAAGTTACGAACAAACTTGAGAATGAACCCAGACAAAGAGAAACAATTTTGTGCATTCATGGAGAAGATTTTCCAAAATGGACACGCTGAGCCAGCTCCACCATTAAAAACTAATGAAGAAAAGTGGTACTTACCCATATTTGGGGTATTTCACCCTAAGAAAAGCAAGATAAGAGTTGTGTTTGACTCGTCAGCAAAGTGTCAAGGTGTGTCGCTGAATGATGTTTTGATGACCGGCCCTGATTTGACTAACAGTTTGATTGGTGTGCTCTTGAAGTTCAGGAAGGAAAAGGTCGCGGTAACAGCAGACATCGAGCAGATGTTTTTCAACTTCTATGTGCATGAGGAAGATAGGAACTTTTTGCGTTTCTTGTGGTTTCGAGACAATGACATTAACAATGAACTCGTGGAATTTAGAATGTGCGTCCACGTGTTTGGCAATTCACCATCCCCCGCAGTTGCCACGTTTGGATTGAGAAAATCCGCCTGTGATCATCATTCAACAGAATTGTGCAATCAAGTGTGTGAACTTGTAAACAAACATTTTTATGTTGACGATGCCTTAGTATCCTTACCAGATGCAGAGTCAGCTATAGAAATCATGAAAAAGACTCAGGATGTTTTGAAACAGAACGGAAATATAAGATTGCATAAAATCAGGTCAAACAGCAGTGAAGTGTTGAAGAGTTTCCCAACCGAGGACTTATCAGAAGATGTACTTAGCATGGACTTCAGTGACCCTGTAAGAAGTCTAGGCCTATTATGGGACATCAAACAAGATGCATTTACTTACCAATTGTTTGATGATGTGAAACCGTTTACAAGGAGAGGCATACTATCTACAGTAAATAGCATATATGACCCCTTAGGGTTCATTGCACCTGTTATACTAGGAGGCAGACTGGTGTTAAAAAAGGCCATGAGCAGCACAGTGGACTGGGACGAGCCTCTACCTGATAACCTGCACACCGAATGGGAAAAGTGGAGAATGTCATTATCACATCTAGAGTCACTTAAGATTCCCAGAATGTATGCCAACATTCAGCATGCATGCCAAAGGGAGCTACACACTTTCTGTGATGCATCCAAAGAGGCCATAGGAGTAGCAACTTATGTCAAGTTGTACGATAAACATGGAGAATCAGATCATGGTTTTGTGATGGGCAAGTCGAAATTAGCACCACACCACAGTCATACTATTCCACGACTAGAACTATGCGCGGCAGTACTTGGAGTTGAGATTGCAGAATTTGTAGCAGAACACCTTAACATACCCAAAGACGCATGTTATTTCTACACGGACAGCAGGGTAGTCCTAGGCTACATTTTCAACGAAAGTCGTCGATTTCATGTCTACGTGGCCAATAGAGTGGACCGAATCAGACGAGCTACTTCACCTAGTCAGTGGAACTTTGTAGCAACCGAAAACAATCCAGCGGACCAGGCAACTCGGTACCAAGAAGCTCACAAAATAGAAAACAGTATGTGGCTTAAGGGACCTCCTTTACTACAGTTCAAAGATCAAGAATCTTTCAATCTTATCAATCCAGATGAGGACAAAGAACTCAAGTTAAGCTCATTCAAAACAGAAGTGAAAGAAATGGAGGGCATTGGTTCAGAACGCTTCACCAGATTTTCATCATGGCATTCTCTAGTGAAAGCCCTAGCCAACATAAATAGACTGGCTGCAAGGTTTAGTAAACGGAGTTCTCTGAAAGATCCTCTAACCCTTTACAAAGAAGCAGAGCAATTCATTTTGAAAACTATTCAACAGGAATTTTATTCTAAGGAGTTGAATTGTTTATACAGCAACCAGCCATTGCCAAAGAATAGTAGTATCTTACCTCTTTCTCCCATCCTTGACGAGGAAGGACTATTGCGAGTTGGTGGGCGTCTGAGAAGAGCCAACCTTCCCACTGGAGAGAAGACACCTATTCTTATACTAGGCAAACATTACATTGCCACACTACTGTTTAGACACTTCCATGAGTCTATTTATCACCAGGGTCGACGCCTGACAGAGGGAGCTATTTGTCGAGCTGGTTACTGGATCACATGTGGCAAGCGTTTAATCTGTTCTATGCTCCACAGTTGTGTACCATGTCGCAAACTTCGAGGTAAAACAGAGTACCAGAAGATGTCTGATCTACCCACAGAACGCCTAACACCGAGTCCACCGTTTAGCTATGTAGGGGTCGACGTATTTGGACCATGGACCATAGTAACCAGAAAGACAAGGGGAGGCAGTGCAAATTCGAAACGCTGGGCAGTCATGTTCTCATGTCTCGTTACACGTGGAGTCCATATTGAAGTGATTGAAGAACTAAGCTCTTCTTCTTTTATTAATGCACTGCGCAGATTCGTATCTCTCAGGGGACCAGTTGTTGAGTTCAGATCAGACAGGGGAACTAACTTCGTAGGAGCGACGGATGATTTAAAAATAGATGTCATCAATGTTGAAGATGGACCAGCACACAGTTTCTTGTTTAACAGCGGAACCGTATGGAAGTTTAATGCACCCCATTCATCACACATGGCCGGTGCTTGGGAACGTATGATAGGAATCGCACGCCGCATCCTTGATTCCATGCTGTCCCATGTCCCTTGCCTTACACATGAGGTCTTGTGCACCCTCATGGCTGAAATATGCGCAATCATGAATTCAAGACCTCTTGCTGCGGTGTCCACGGATCCCGATTCTCCAACAGTTTTATCGCCGGCAACGATCCTAACACAAAAGACAGGTCAGCGCGTCGAGCCATTCCAGCATTTTGGAGTGAAAGATATGATCAAGTCGCAATGGCGCCAAGTACAAGTCTTGGCTGATCAGTTCTGGACACAGTGGAGAGAAAGATACCTGACCACACTTCAAGCGCGTCAGAAATGGAACAGCGAACGACCAAGTCTCAAAGAAGGTGACGTTATACTGATGAAGGACGCAGAGACCCCCAGGATACAGTGGCCACTTGGCATCGTACAACAGTGTTTTGAAAGTGAGGACGGACGAATTCGAAAAGTGTCACTACGTGTTATTAAACATGAGAAACCAGTGCTGTATACAAGACCTGTATCAGAGTTGATTTACTTGTTTAGTGTGTAAATGATAGATGTTTTCATATATCAAGATGTTGCGTTTCATTTTGTTCATATATGATTTCCAGTAGAAATCAAGCGGGGAATGTAGTGGAACCATTTTATGTAAGAACTGTCTAACGCTGTGTATGATTTTATGTACGAGTTAATCTAAAGTATGTAAACACACATGGCTGCAAGTGCGGCACACTGCAAGCAATTTTTCTTATAGTTAAGCTCGATCCACTACAGAGTAAGTTTCATATGTATTATAAATGATAAAGATATATGTTTATTTACTTATTGTTAACTGCAAAGTAGGCAATTTCACTTATTAGGCTATTTTTATGATCGGAATGTAATGTAAACAATCTACAGCTATAATATTTTCCCGCCATTATTGTCCATTGTCTTCAAGCAATTTGTGTAGAATTTGTGTTTGTATCTCATAGTAATGTGTTGTTTTTGTTTTGTTTATTGTAGTTTTTTACCTCTTCCGAGAGTCTATAATAAAAGCAAGCAAACATTATAGTAAAAAATCTGTACTCATCACATGGATCGAATCATGGACCTTAGAGCTGCACGGACCCTCACCGAGCGAGCAAAAGAACAGTGCGAAAAGAAAGTGAGTGAATATACAGAACAATTACGTGTTCTTAGGAAAAGTGTAGAAGAACAAATTCTGGCATTTAGTGAGTTTCCCTTAAAAGAGGATGCAGAGTTTGTGAAACATAGGGTGACCCAAACACTTGGAAAATATGGTGACTTGTCTGAAAAGTTTGTGGCCTACTTACAAGAAACAAGGACAAAAGAGAGTGAGTACGAACTTTCAGCGCATGCTATGGTTAACAGATCAGTCATGAGCAAGGCAGAACTGTTCATAAAGGAACTTGAACATTTCGATCAAAGTGACGTTAAAGAGAAAAACGGACAACAACTATCTAGTGCAGATTCTACACAGTCAAATAAAGAGACAGATCATTTTTCAGTCAAACAAGAACCCGCAAGTGTTACAGAAGAGTCAGCAAGTTCTTCACATCTCAGCAAAGTCAAAGCTAGATACGAAGCATCAAAAACAAAGGCGAAGTATGCAGAACTTACAGCAAAATTAATTAAAGAAAAGACGCAAATAGAAGAAGACGAGGCAATCGCAGCTTCAAGATCAGCAAGAAAAAAGAAAGATTTAGAAACTAGTTTAAATCTCATTAAAGTACAACAAGAGGCTGAAGAGGCAGAAGCAGAGCTGGACGCTCTCATGGAAGAAATGAGCATCAAGTCAAATCATTCCGAGCATAGTGTACGTACATTGACAAGTGAAAAGCGAAAGAGAACCCGAGACTATGTGGTAGAGCAAAGCAGTATGCGATCTGAATTATCCAACCATGAACAAGCTTCAAGTGAAAGAACCCCAAATCCGTTTGATAAATACAAACATGAAACATTTACATTCATGTCAGACAAATATAGGCAACCTTCGTATAGAGACTTATCTGTTCAAGAACAAGATCCTGTAATGAGAGAAAATGCGAACCCTCAAACTAATGAACGCTATGAAAAACGCAATACTGACAGATATGCACGAGATTATGAGCCACCAATTGCGCCAAAATTTCATAGCACATACGCAGGAAGAGACTACGAATCGCCAATTGAAAATCATGGAAATGGAGGAAACGCCCCACCAAATGATCACAGTGTTATGCAACGTGAACCAGATTGCGACAACCACTCTCCCTGGGTCGGCACGGAACTTACCAAGTTTCTCGTTAAAAAAGAACTGTTGTTATCGAGACTATCTGCCTTCAATGACAGACCAGAAAACTACCTTATATGGAAAGGCAGCTTTTCTATCATTATGAAAGACTTGAGTGTCACCCCCATGGAAGAGTTGGATCTTCTCATAAAGTACCTTGGAGCAGATTCCAAGCAACATGCGATGAGACTCCGCGCGTCACATCCTACCGACCCATTGAAAGGACTCACCAGAATCTGGGAGAGACTTGATGAGCGCTATGGCTCCCCAGAATTGATAGAAGCGATACTAAAAGAAAAGATAGCAAAGTTCCCAAAAATAAGTACAAAGGATGCCAAAAGGATGTATGAGCTATCTGACATAGCATCTGAAGTAGAGTCAGTGAAGGAAAATCCTAAGTACAAAACCCTACTGGCATATTACGACTCCTCCTTTGGCGTAAATTCATTTGTATCCAAACTACCAGGATTTCTACAGTCAAAGTGGACGGACAGGGCACTGAAGCATAAGGTAGATCTCGATGTTCTCTACCCACCTTTTGCCGTTTTCACGAAGTTCTTGAAGGAGATGAGCATTAGAATGAATGATCCAAGCTTTGCATTTGACAAGGGAACTTCACCTTCATTTGAAAACAGAGACAAGTTTACACCAGTGAGGGGCAATATTACCACCATTAAGACAAAGCTAACACCAAAGAAGCCTAGCAAGTGTCCGTTACATGAAACTGATAAACACCCGCTTAGTGACTGCAGAACATTTAACAGTAAACCAATCGCTGAAAAGAAATCCCTCATTAGACAGTATGGCCTGTGTTTCAAATGCTGCAATGGCAAGCATTCAGCTCGTGACTGTCAAGAACATGTATCATGTAATGTATGCAACTCCAATAGACACTGTACTGCTATGCATGAAGAGAGAAGTACTTCACAGGTTCACAGCGGGGAAGAGCTACGCAGAACGACTAATGATGCAACTAATCCAAGTGTGAGAGCAAGCTGCACCCAGGTTTGTGGACGTGAAGGATTCAAAGGAAAGTCCTGTGCAAAGACAGTCCTAGTGAATATATATCCGGAACAACATCCAGAACGGAGTCTGAAAGCCTACGTTCTCATTGACGACCAAAGTAACAGGTCACTGGCGAGGTCCGAGTTTTTTGACTACTTCAACGAGAATGCTCATGAGATCGAGTATGTATTATCATCATGTTCAGGCTACATATCCACAACTGGACGACAGACCTCAGGGTACATAATCGAGTCTCTAGATGGCAGCACAAGACTATCATTGCCAACCCTTATAGAGTGCAACCAGATTCCCAACATGCGAGAGGAAATCCCCACACCAGAAGTAGCAAAGTATCATGAACACCTCAGGGATATAGCTGATGAAATTCCGCCATATGATCAAGACGCACCCATTTTACTGCTTATTGGTAGAGACATGATAGCAGCTCATCATGTGTTGGACCAGAGAATTGGACACAATTATGCACCGTATGCTCAGAAACTGAGGTTTGGTTGGGTTGTCATTGGCGAGACATGTTTAGGAGCTGCCCACAGACCTGAAACAATCACCACCAACAAAGTTCACGTCTTGAGTAATGGACGTCCGTCAATACTACAGCCATGCCCAAATGATTTTAGGCTGAGGACTCACACCAGACCAACATCAGATTTTGAATTTGGAGAGAATGTTTTCATACAGACAAGCAGTGATGACAAAATTGGTTTCTCGATTGAAGATAAGGAGTTCCTTAGTGTCATGAACAGTGGCTTTAGGAAAAGTGAGAGTGGAAACTGGAGTGCACCCTTGCCGTTCAAGTCCAAGCGACAAGTATTGCCAGACAACTATGAGCAAGCACTGCAACGGGCCAGGAAGTTACGAACAAACTTGAGAATGAACCCAGACAAAGAGAAACAATTTTGTGCATTCATGGAGAAGATTTTCCAAAATGGACACGCTGAGCCAGCTCCACCATTAAAAACTAATGAAGAAAAGTGGTACTTACCCATATTTGGGGTATTTCACCCTAAGAAAAGCAAGATAAGAGTTGTGTTTGACTCGTCAGCAAAGTGTCAAGGTGTGTCGCTGAATGATGTTTTGATGACCGGCCCTGATTTGACTAACAGTTTGATTGGTGTGCTCTTGAAGTTCAGGAAGGAAAAGGTCGCGGTAACAGCAGACATCGAGCAGATGTTTTTCAACTTCTATGTGCATGAGGAAGATAGGAACTTTTTGCGTTTCTTGTGGTTTCGAGACAATGACATTAACAATGAACTCGTGGAATTTAGAATGTGCGTCCACGTGTTTGGCAATTCACCATCCCCCGCAGTTGCCACGTTTGGATTGAGAAAATCCGCCTGTGATCATCATTCAACAGAATTGTGCAATCAAGTGTGTGAACTTGTAAACAAACATTTTTATGTTGACGATGCCTTAGTATCCTTACCAGATGCAGAGTCAGCTATAGAAATCATGAAAAAGACTCAGGATGTTTTGAAACAGAACGGAAATATAAGATTGCATAAAATCAGGTCAAAAAGCAGTGAAGTGTTGAAGAGTTTCCCAACCGAGGACTTATCAGAAGATGTACTTAGCATGGACTTCAGTGACCCTGTAAGAAGTCTAGGCCTATTATGGGACATCAAACAAGATGCATTTACTTACCAATTGTTTGATGATGTGAAACCGTTTACAAGGAGAGGCATACTATCTACAGTAAATAGCATATATGACCCCTTAGGGTTCATTGCACCTGTTATACTAGGAGGCAGACTGGTGTTAAAAAAGGCCATGAGCAGCACAGTGGACTGGGACGAGCCTCTACCTGATAACCTGCACACCGAATGGGAAAAGTGGAGAATGTCATTATCACATCTAGAGTCACTTAAGATTCCCAGAATGTATGCCAACATTCAGCATGCATGCCAAAGGGAGCTACACACTTTCTGTGATGCATCCAAAGAGGCCATAGGAGTAGCAACTTATGTCAAGTTGTACGATAAACATGGAGAATCAGATCATGGTTTAGTGATGGGCAAGTCGAAATTAGCACCACACCACAGTCATACTATTCCACGACTAGAACTATGCGCGGCAGTACTTGGAGTTGAGATTGCAGAATTTGTAGCAGAACACCTTAACATACCCAAAGACGCATGTTATTTCTACACGGACAGCAGGGTAGTCCTAGGCTACATTTTCAACGAAAGTCGTCGATTTCATGTCTACGTGGCCAATAGAGTGGACCGAATCAGACGAGCTACTTCACCTAGTCAGTGGAACTTTGTAGCAACCGAAAACAATCCAGCGGACCAGGCAACTCGGTACCAAGAAGCTCACAAAATAGAAAACAGTATGTGGCTTAAGGGACCTCCTTTACTACAGTTCAAAGATCAAGAATCTTTCAATCTTATCAATCCAGATGAGGACAAAGAACTCAAGTTAAGCTCATTCAAAACAGAAGTGAAAGAAATGGAGGGCATTGGTTCAGAACGCTTCACCAGATTTTCATCATGGCATTCTCTAGTGAAAGCCCTAGCCAACATAAATAGACTGGCTGCAAGGTTTAGTAAACGGAGTTCTCTGAAAGATCCTCTAACCCTTTACAAAGAAGCAGAGCAATTCATTTTGAAAACTATTCAACAGGAATTTTATTCTAAGGAGTTGAATTGTTTATACAGCAACCAGCCATTGCCAAAGAATAGTAGTATCTTACCTCTTTCTCCCATCCTTGACGAGGAAGGACTATTGCGAGTTGGTGGGCGTCTGAGAAGAGCCAACCTTCCCACTGGAGAGAAGACACCTATTCTTATACCAGGCAAACATTACATTGCCACACTACTTGTAAGACACTACCATGAGTCTATTTATCACCAGGGTCGACACCTGACAGAGGGAGCCATTCGTCGAGCTGGTTATTGGATCACAGGTGGCAAGCGTTTAATCTGCTCTATGCTCCACAGTTGTGTACCGTGTCGCAAACTTCGAGGTAAAACAGAGTACCAGAAGATGTCTGATCTACCCACAGAACGCCTAACACCGAGTCCACCGTTTAGCTATGTAGGGGTCGACGTATTTGGACCATGGACCATAGTAACCAGAAAGACAAGGGGAGGCAGTGCAAATTCGAAACGCTGGGCAGTCATGTTCTCATGTCTCGTTACACGTGGAGTCCATATTGAAGTGATTGAAGAACTAAGCTCTTCTTCTTTTATTAATGCACTGCGCAGATTCGTATCTCTCAGGGGACCAGTTGTTGAGTTCAGATCAGACAGGGGAACTAACTTCGTAGGAGCGACGGATGATTTAAAAATAGATGTCATCAATGTTGAAGATGGACCAGCACACAGTTTCTTGTTTAACAGCGGAACCGTATGGAAGTTTAATGCACCCCATTCATCACACATGGCCGGTGCTTGGGAACGTATGATAGGAATCGCACGCCGCATCCTTGATTCCATGCTGTCCCATGTCCCTTGCCTTACACATGAGGTCTTGTGCACCCTCATGGCTGAAATATGCGCAATCATGAATTCAAGACCTCTTGCTGCGGTGTCCACGGATCCCGATTCTCCAACAGTTTTATCGCCGGCAACGATCCTAACACAAAAGACAGGTCAGCGCGTCGAGCCATTCCAGCATTTTGGAGTGAAAGATATGATCAAGTCGCAATGGCGCCAAGTACAAGTCTTGGCTGATCAGTTCTGGACACAGTGGAGAGAAAGATACCTGACCACACTTCAAGCGCGTCAGAAATGGAACAGCGAACGACCAAGTCTCAAAGAAGGTGACGTTATACTGATGAAGGACGCAGAGACCCCCAGGATACAGTGGCCACTTGGCATCGTACAACAGTGTTTTGAAAGTGAGGACGGACGAATTCGAAAAGTGTCACTACGTGTTATTAAACATGAGAAACCAGTGCTGTATACAAGACCTGTATCAGAGTTGATTTACTTGTTTAGTGTGTAAATGATAGATGTTTTCATATATCAAGATGTTGCGTTTCATTTTGTTCATATATGATTTCCAGTAGAAATCAAGCGGGGAATGTAGTGGAACCATTTTATGTAAGAACTGTCTAACGCTGTGTATGATTTTATGTACGAGTTAATCTAAAGTATGTAAACACACATGGCTGCAAGTGCGGCACACTGCAAGCAATTTTTCTTATAGTTAAGCTCGATCCACTACAGAGTAAGTTTCATATGTATTATAAATGATAAAGATATATGTTTATTTACTTATTGTTAACTGCAAAGTAGGCAATTTCACTTATTAGGCTATTTTTATGATCGGAATGTAATGTAAACAATCTACAGCTATAATATTTTCCCGCCATTATTGTCCATTGTCTTCAAGCAATTTGTGTAGAATTTGTGTTTGTATCTCATAGTAATGTGTTGTTTTTGTTTTGTTTATTGTAGTTTTTTACCTCTTCCGAGAGTCTATAATAAAAGCAAGCAAACATTATAATTACTCTTTCAAAAGTAGCGGGGGCATTGCACAGTCCAAAAGGCATGACTGTATATTGATACAGTCCTCCCCGTGGAGTTCCAAAGGCTGTTTTCTCCTTGTCACACTCTCGCATTGGGATTTGATGATAAGCCATATTAAGGTCAAGTGAAGTAAACCATGTAGATCCGGATAACGCATCTAAATCTTCCGCAATTCTCGGGATAGGATAAGCATCTTTAATGGTTTGAGCATTCAGACGCCGATAATCCACACATAATCTCCAGGTCTTGTCTTTCTTTTGCACTAGTACAAGGGGAGATGACCAAGGACTTACTGATTCTTCAATCAACCCTTGTGTTCTAAGCTTGTTTATCTCCGCATCCAATATATCTCGCTTAAATATTGGTACTCTCCTTACGGGTTCTTTAAATGGCGTTTCATCATTCAAGTTAATCCGATGTTCTCCAACATTTGAGCGCTGCAGTGGCATTTCGGGGTCGGCAAATGCAGATTTCCGACAAAGAAAAAACTGCTTGAATTTAACTGCTTGTGGTGGGGTTAGGTTCTTGCATCCTTCATGATACATTTCCCTCAGAAATTCAGGAATATCCTCAGAATTGTGTCCAGTTTCTATGCTACACACATCTGAATTCCGCACCTCGTCACTGACGTAATTAACAGGTTTCACTAACGCAATTTCCGTGTTTTCCTTAACACAAACTGCTTTGTCTCCTGGGTTAAAAACACGCACAAATATAACGCTGTTTTCAGTATTCACTAATACATGTCCAACCACAAGTCCATGTGTGTTGACAAATTTCATCATCGGTACTAATATACCTTCCATATTAGTACTAGGAATCACTCTGGATTTTATCACAGCTTCGTGTCTCGCCGGAATAACAATATTCTCCACTGAACGAACACGACAGCTAATCTCTGCATTCTCGCTTGTGTGCACACATCTCATCATCAAGTTGTGATTCCGATAATCCCAGTGACATTCGTATTTCATCATAAAGTCTTTTCCAAGCAGGTTACATTTCACGCCGCCCACAAATACTCGAAAATAAATATCTGTCTGCCCAAAAGTTAAAATCATGTTAGCAGTCCCTATAAAATTCATTGGTCTTCCGTCTGCAGTCTCAAATTTCTTTCTCACTTGCTCCAGTACAGGTCTGTTCTGAGGAAGAATACTATAATAAACGTCTTCAGAGATGAAAGTATTTGCCGCACCAGTGTCGATTTTCCACTCTACTTCTGTTCCCTCTAATAAGCCTTTTACTGTCATATCAGGCTTTCCATCCACCACTACACAAGATTGAGTTGCGCAGTTAGGCTGTTCCTCTATTTGTTTCAAATCAGTGTGCGTTTCATCAGTTTGCGTTTCTGCAAATGCCATGTGATGTTTCACATGTACATCATCTGTACTAGGCCTCTCCTGTTCTGTGACCGACGCATGGCCTACTGCCTCGGTCGATCCTGGTTTAACTGTTGGCTTCTGTTGGAGACATGGCTCTTCCGGATTCCAGTTCCGGAATTAGGTCTTACATTCTTAGGACAATCTCGCGTCAAATGCTGAGTCGAATTACACTTGAAACACCTTTTTGTTGATTTCATTGAACTTGTTAATTTATTTTCCGGGTTAAGTCTGTTTTCCTTGACTTCATATACTGGCGGTGCGTACAGTTTGTGCTTCCTGTTTTCTGTGAATCTAATGCACTCCTCCTGCATGGCTGCAGTTATAGCCTCAGAGAGCGTCTTAGGACGTGTTCGCTTCACAGCGAGCCTAAAATCCTCGTTTGAGCTGCAATTGTCCAGGAAAGTCTTCAGAGAACTTTCCGTTACAAAATCCCGATTATCAGGGAAAGCACGCCTGTATAAATCCTCAATTGCTTGACCAAAATCCCTAAATGTCTCATTTTCCTTTTTACGGCGTAATTTAGCTTCCGCAATGTAACTTTCTTTTAAGGCAGTATGCCCAAATCTCTGGTTCAAGGCAGTTTTAAGAGAATTGTAATCTTGTAATGTATTCTCGGGTAGTCCGTATGCATATGCCTCTGCCTGATCTCGGAGGGTAGTAAGCAGTATCCGTCTCATACCCTGTTGAGTCCACTGATTTAAATTTGCAACATTCTCAAAGTATCTTATGAATTCACTCCAGATTGAAGATCCGTCCCCCTTAAATACTCGTTTAAGAGGAATGTTCATCTCAACATGACCAGTTTGCTCCCTGGGTGATAAATATGTAGAATTCGAACTTGGTGTCATGATAGGCCGTATTCTACGCCTTGTCGCGCTGGTTACAGGCTGTCTGGTGCGTTTCGTTGTATGTCCTCTGCTATAGCACATTTTCCATAGAATACTAATCACTAGTGCGGTCAGGAAAATGAAAATCACTATGAATTGAAATTCCCGCGTAAACTCTATCACTAGATTTTTAGGAATTAATTGATAAATTTCCATTATCACTGATATGCACAACACGATCACTAAAATCCAGTATTTTAGAAAGCCTCCCCATCCTACATTTTGTTCATTTTGATCTGCGATTTCCAGCCTTACTTCAGACTGAATAGGTGTCTCCAAATCGAATTCAACTTCCGGACTTCTTTGCATTGTAGCATCGGCATCATCAAATTCTGTTAGTAAATTTCGGCGCACTGCGGGAGTCCTCGGCGCTCTTGGTGTCTCGGGAGTTCTCACAGTTTCCATTTTTAATTCCTTATGTCCAGGTTGATTCCAGATTAATGTTATCGCAATCAACACATGAGTCACATACACAAAAGTAACAAATAAATCCAGTTTGGCGAAATATTCACATTATTCACATCATATTTCATTACGCATGAATTTTAATGCGGCACCCACATGCCGGACATCGGTAAAAATGTCGCACAATTCCTTCACTTCCAATTTGCAAACTGTGACGATTTTCTGTTTTTATAAACATGTTGTAGCAATTCGGACACTCCTTTCTTAAGTCAAACGGCTCAATCCTAACAAGAACTTTATTCCCAGAATCATCATAGTCGTAGATGTACGCCAGTCTCTGGTTCGGATGATTTCTTGGAAATTCCATAATTCACAATTATTTCACAGATATATGAATATTCCTCCGCAAAAATTAAAATCACACATGTATAACTAGAATTTCACCGGAATAATAAAATCCAACCGGAATGATAACATTTCACCGGAGTCATTAAATCCCACCAGAATAAAAATATCCAATCGGAATTGAAATATCCCACCGCTGCCACCACTTGTAGCGCCGTCGAGCGGTAAACGGCACACAATATTTTAATCCAGTGGAATTAAGTTAATAATTAATCCATGCTTCCTCAATGAAATGTTGCTTCAGTGAAAACACCTGGTTATCGTTTTACAATTTATTTACATGATCTCAAATTTTAATAGTCCAACAGAATGCACAAAATAAAATATCCTTGAACAGCACTGACCAAATTAAATAAACTCCATCTCTATCTATTATACTTCTCCTATGCATCTACTATTCTATTCTACACAGAAACTTTCTGTCCCCTGTATATATATAAAGTAGGTTGCTCACGAAGAGCAACGCTCTTAACTGGGTCAGTTACATAAGTTACACAGCCGCTGCTCACAAGGAGCAACGGGTATCCGTACTATAAATAAACATAATCTAACATAGGGCACTGAATGAAACAATTAAGACTAATTACAGATAATTAAAATAATACAATATTAAATCACAACTTTACAGTTTACGTATGTATGGCATGTTCCGATAGTGCAAATCAGCGGGGTGTACTGGCTTGGCATTTGATGTCAAGAGCTGTTGTTTACGATCATATAATTTCACTATTTTTGATTCATGATAAATGAAAAACATAAATAAAAAAAAATTACGGGAGTTTACTGAAAGAAAAAACCCGCGTTCGTGAAATCTAACGTTTTATACATGTATATTCTATGCTTGAATTTTATCGATTTCATACCTATATTTTTAATATTTTATCTAAAATAATCTTCTGCATTATAAATTTATGTAAAAATGAACTGATTTGTGATTATATTAAGAAATACATAAAATTTTTAAAGAATTTTACCGTGAACAGTCTCTGCTAAATAATCGCTCTCTTTCAAATGCGATCTGCACACAACGGCATAGGCAGAAGGTTCCCAGCTCTGGAAACGTGTTTCCCCTCGTCTAATTGCGTGAATCCATGATTTTCGTCTCGTTTGATCTGATGGGAAAGCATGTCCACCTCTATTACTACAACCAGGTACGCAACAGCAAGTCTCCGGCATGTTTCTCGTGTGTATATGACAGCGATTTGTTTATATGTGATATGGTAAAATCGTGATGATAATGCGCGAGCTAGTTCCGAAGGGGACCGCATTTTTCTGTGGCGCCACCTAAGGGAAAGATAACCGGCGCCGGAAAACCATTTTCAAAGGTTATGAAAATGTTACAAATATGTTACAAATATTTCAAAACTTTGATGAGCGTGAAATATATATCACTG